CAGTAGCAGGGCGCTGGGGTACTTTCAAGGTTGGGATTCAACCTTTAAAAATTTTGGTCAGTAGGATTCTCACTTACATGCTGATATGAATAATCAAATAATTTTTATTTTAAAATTGCATGTTTGGTAAAACTTAAATATAATTTAAATTTGATTAAACCAAGTTTTCATCCGACCTATTGTCAATGTTCTAGAAGGCGTAATGTGTGGCGATGCATAGAGGCCAAACTACGGGTTAGGCGAGGCATAGGCATAAAAAAGAGTAAAAAAAAAAAAATCTTATTTTAATATTATTTGAAGTTTTAATCAATTGAAAAATTGTTTGATATTTAAAAATAATACCTGTCAAGCATCTAAAATAAATTTATAGGAAATTTATACATTTTTTAAAGTTTTCAACAAAAAGATAGTTCTAAATGTTAAGATTAAATAGTAAATAAATAGGAATTTTTGGGAGATTTACTTTGTTCAAGCTTTAAGTGATTATTTTGCATTTAGATTGACGAAGTGAAGAAATCAACATTTAAATTTTAACTTAGAAAACTTTATAAAAAAATCAATTTTTTTTTTTTTAAAAAAGAAGATAATTATGCGAGCCTAGGTGCGCATAACTACACTTTGACGCACATTAGCGGTCAACGATTGCTAATGATCATTAAATAAGGTGTTATGCGTACCTAGAGGTACATTAGCGGTTAACGATTGCTGAAGACCATTAAATAAGGCATCAAACCACTTGACTTGGCGTTTTCGCTGTGTGTCACACACTACGCGTCGCCATTGCGCACCTTTTAGAATAGTGCCTACAATTCATTGCTCATATTTTGTTACACATTCTATAAGACCGCTTTAATCACTTTCAAACAAGCACAAAGTCTAAATAAATTTGTTTACTTATTTAAATAGTAAATATTAACATATTAGAGTAATACTCTTATTTTTTATTTGATGAACAAAGAAATTATTTAATTCAAGTTTACTTATTTATGTATATTGATGTAGATTTTAGACTATCAGCTTTAGCTGTGCTGCATGAAGAATAAGTCAAGCGTAACATGCCAGGATACAAAATGAACATTATGTATAATGATCATGTTATTTATTACTATTGTCATAAAATTTATATTTAAGTTTATATAGTGACATGTAATATCATTAAATATTTATCTCAGACAATATGTTCAATATAGCATAGTAATTTGAAAAGAAAAATATTAATATATATTAAATCATTGCCACCACTATTTTTAATTAAACATCACATTACAGACACATGATTCTTAATCAAATATTGAGTCTTTCTTAGTATTAAAGCCATTATATCCGATTAATATATGATACTTCCCTAAAAAAATTCATCAATTAACTAGTGTACCATGTCACTGATACACCGATACTTAGAAGATCCTCTCTCTCTCTCTCTCTCTCTCTCATATATATATATATATATATATAAAATTGTTTCTTATAACTATTTTGCATTTTTAAAAAATTAGAATTGGTGTAAAGTAGCTAGACGATGGGTTTGAATTTGATTCGAGTTGAATATTATCACTAAGACGGCTCTCAATTCAATGTTAGAATGCATGCAAACATATTTAAAATCAAACATACGACAAAATCACTAGAAATTGTATAATCAATTATTGATCAAGCGTCAACGAGAAACCTTTGAGATTGAAATATCATCAAATCTTCGTTTAGTCCATTTTCTCATTACCAAATCATCCACGTGCACAAAAATTGAGTCAAAGTTTTAACATATGGAACATACTGGTTGCTTCTTGACAATGAATCAAGAAGAATTCAGTGACATTTCTCTGATTACCTGTCCTGATTATGAAACAAGAAAAAGATTGACTGATAAATCATTTTACATGAAAACCCTCGAAAAGTCCAATTATATATGTGCATTAATTTCGACACTCTGGTACAATCAAGAAACTCTGTGAATATTCTTGGTTGAAAATAATGTAACATCATGCGATACGGATGCCTTGTTATGCAAGAAAATTATGTTATTGTTACTCTGGGCCCTCAGTTGTTTTCCATTATTTGTCCTTTAAAATGAAAATATGACCATTATTTATTACTTCAAGCCACCATATTTGACTTTCTATCTCTTGTGTGGGGCCCGTAACGGCTATGTTTTTCATTCTCGTTTTTACATTAATGTGTACCAAACGGGGCCTAAGAAAGGGAAAATTGATGTTTTTTTTTTTTTTTTTTGGATTCTTATACAATATACAGAGTTTACTTTTGTCTGATATAGATCATACCTAAAATGATATAATAAATCTAAAATGACAGGGACGTCAACTTTGGTAGAAGCAATAATTATTAAGAACAAAAAGGAGATATCATTTAAATGACACCCATATTTTGATTTTTAGTACTGTTATTCATGTTCATGAGTCCAATATACTGATATTCTGAACATGTTACTAATGTTCGTAAGGTTAGAAATTTGGAGGAAATAAATGAGGATTTAAATCGAATTCAGATTGGGCAGGCAAAATCTCGCACTTTTATGCCTAGGCCAATAGAAAAATAAAAATCATGTTGGATCCTAGGTTCGAGTTACTCTCAAAATAATCATATGCAATTCACATTACATCTTTATACCAATCGACAGGGGTATTCCAATAATTAGGTTCTCCAAACCTTAAACAAGGTGTATGATTAGTCCAATTTGATCGATTTCCTAACAAATTTTAAAACGATTTGAGAGAATCTCAAACCTAAATCTAACGGCTTGGTCAAGCTTTAAACCGATATTTGGCCATGGATTTTTTCTTTTTCATATTTTCTTTATCATCACTAGTAGATGACGGTAATATATTTTCATACTTTACTTAAAGAAAAAAAAAAACACCTATACATATCAAATTGTAAATTAAATAATAACAAAATCAATGAAAAATCTCAAAATGGAGTTATGAAATGGATTTTGCTGTTTATACAGAAAAATAGCTGAAAGAAGTTATCAAAATGATGTCGAGGGAAAAGATTGGATGAAAAAATTAATTATGTTTTAAATTGACAAATAATAAAATGACACATAACATTATGTAAAAAGTTATGTGATCCTTGATATATGTCCTTATGAAATTAGAATGTTTTACTAATTATTGGTATTAAGCAATAAACAATTGACCAAATAACCAATTCTCTGTACTAAATTTTATAGTTATACTTTATTTTGGAAACTAAGATTGCTTTATCGGTCTAAATTTTGGCAAAAATTTACAATTTACAATTCACAATTTTATTTTTATTTTATATTTTTAAATGGCCCAATTTGATTTTATTCCAAGAGTTAAATTTTGAAACCTAAACCAAACCGTTTGAGAATGGTTTGGCTTATTTAAAAAAATATTCCTTAATGGATCCGTGTTGTGAACCCACGTAACAATAATAACTCCAAAAACTACGAAAGATTGAATCCATCTAAGAAAGCCAAGAAATCAAAGTTTAGGGTTCAACCAAAAAATAATGAACCAAAGAACCAACAAAATTGCCTACAATATGTTGACCCCTTAATCACAAGATTCAAGAATCTCGCCCAAATTGTTTGAACGCCACAAGAAATACTTTTTAATAAGTTCGTAAAATTACATCAATGAAGAACAATGAATTGAAAGCATCTCTTATTGAATGAATGAATGTTCTTTTACGATGTAAATAATGTGTTCTCTATATATAAGGAACTCATAAAACCCTAGTAAAACAGGGAGTAAAAGTCTAAAGAAAAAAAATACCAAAAATTAGAGTTTTAATATAATTAGAAGATTACACGAATTTGAAAAAATCGCGTCATGGACTTGTACTATGTGGCCGCATAGTACATTGGGATGCGATCACATAGAAGAACTTGAATCCCATTCTTTTGTCTTGGTAAACTCAGATGCAGACGATTGCATGTTAACACTATGCAATCGCATAGTGTAGTTGCTCGGCTTGGCTCTGTCCTCAGCTGCTCGAATCAAGTTGATCCAAATTGTTTCCTCTCCCAAGCTCAAAACGAAACTTGTTCCTTTGTTTGCCANTCTGTCCTCAGCTGCTCGAATCAAGTTGATCCAAATTGTTTCCTCTCCCAAGCTCAAAACGAAACTTGTTCCTTTGTTTGCCATGATTGATTTTTCATCCATCGTAACTTGAACAAGTAATCACATCGCTTCTTTGACCCTTTGTGCTCGCGACCTCGTCATCGGCCATTTGTCAACAATTAATGGATCTTTGCTCGAACTTGCCTTCGTTCATTGGATCACAGCAGTCCACATGATACTAAATCGATGATTATAAAAAGCAATTTTGGTTCAATTTTCCAGTTTTTGCTTACTGCTATAATCAAACGTATTAAGGAAGTCAAAATTAGATTGGGTAATTGTGTTCAAATCACAATTTTTATTTCTTGCACCACATTTTAAATATATTTGAAGTTCACAATCTTTTCTCATTATAACATTTACGTCCCTAACAATTTTTCATGGCATTCTTAAATTCAAACTTTTCATTAGTTTAACATATTTGATAACAGTTTATGTCTAAAATTTTTGTTGAAATAGCATATAAAAACTTATTTTCTATCATATTTGAAAAATATATAAATAAAAAGGTATGAAAAAATATTTTCTCTCATTTCAAATCATGGAAACAAAGTATTTTATGTACTAATTAATAGGAGGTTAAAGATAAGAATTAGATGAAAAAATTAAAAAAATAATTATTACAACAAGGAAAAATTGAAAATTTTAACTGCAATTAAAATATAGTGAAACAAATAAAAATTACGGCCACCTATTTAGATTTTGGAAGATATGATGTGGATTTCAATAGCCGATGAAATTACAATGAGCACCCAGGAAAAAGGAAACTGGATAACCTGTAATAAATTGCTACTGTTCAAATACGTACACGTCATAATATTATCAACGAATTTATACAGAAATTTTTGTCTTTCAACATTTTTTTTTTCTTTTTAATCATCCTTTCTGCGTCTCTATAAATCAGCAGGCCTCGATTTCTCAGTGAATCAAATATCACCTCAGAATACAAAGGCATTCCCAGAGAGAGAGATGGAGAAGATTATTTCATTCTTTGAGCCTGTTTTTTCCTTTCTATTTACTGTATTTTTATATGTGATTTCAAAAAGAATGAAAAGAAAAAATTCAGAAAGGAAAACTAAGCTCCCTCCAGGCTCAATGGGGTGGCCTTATATTGGAGAAACTCTTCAGCTCTATTCCCAAGATCCAAATGTCTTTTTTTCTGACAGAGAAAAAAGGTTTCTTGCTTTCAATCTCGATTACTTGCCAATTCTGTCTAATACTGAATTCTGACATGTCCTGATATAATTTTTATAACCGGGATGTTCTTATTCAGGAATGGAGAAATCTTTAAGACACATATACTTGGTTGCCCTTGTATAATGTTGGCGAGCCCAGAAGCAGCTCGACTCGTGCTAGTCACTCAGGCACATTTGTTCAAGCCGACATATCCGAAGAGCAAGGAAAACTTGATCGGCCCCTCCGCGCTGTTTTTTCACCAGGGGGAGTACCATATGCGCCTTAGGAAGCTGGTTCAGGGCACCTTGTACCCGGAGGCCATTCGCAACCTGATGGCAGACATCGAAGCCATAGCAGTGTCTGCAATAGATTCGTGGACGGGTGACCGTGTCATAAACATTTTCCACGAGATGAAAAAGGTTCGTTTCTTCCATCATTGGCGCCTCTATATATGTCTTTGAGTTTGAAAATTGTGCACGTGTCACAGGGACGGAGCTAGCACCCGACGAACCCCTGGGGTCGTCCGTCCTGGCTCTGCCTAAATTTTTTCCCCCCTATATTGGTTAGCTGCTTAACTTGGATCCGCCGTTGTTCACCTAAGTTCCTAGTTTCGATACTAACGTGTCAGTTCTTAATGAAAAATGAATTTGGCAAGCATGTGGGGACATGTTTAAAACTACAATTTAAATGAAAAAATGTATCTTTCTCTAATAGTTTAAACTTTTATACGAGAAATCTGATTCGTCTTTGACCGTTGATTTCCTACAGTTTTCATTAGAAGTAGGTATTCTCTCTATTTTTGGTCATTTGGAGCCCCATTACAAAGAAGAGTTGAAGAAGAACTATAGCATACTAGATAGAGGGTACAATTCTTTTCCAACAAACTTACCTGGAACTCCATACCAAAAGGCAAGGAAGGTAAAGTCATCAATTTCACCAAGCATTTTTCTATAATGGCATGTTTGCTTTTGTTAAATAATATTGGACCGTACAATAAACTAGATTCTTAACTTATGTTCTTATTTAACACGGTCTAGTCTACCTTAGCACAAGTGTCGAAAATGGACAGTCATTTGTACTAACCACACTTGCCATTTTAATTCATGAAGGCAAGGAAGAGGCTGAGTGAAATATTAAGTAGAATTACAAGAGAAAGAAAGGAAAAGAGCCTTTTGGAGAAGAACCTGTTGAGTTGTCTGATGAATTATAAAGATGACAATGGTGAAACTCTAAATGATGAGCAGATTGCCGACAACATCATCGGAGTACTTTTTGCGTCAAAAGACACGACCGCGAGTGCCATGACATGGATTCTCAAGTACCTCTACGACAACCGAAAAGTTTTCGATGCTGTCAAGGTAAGATCTAGAAGAGTCCATCCCATTTTCTAGTTGCTCCGGAGTAATACAACGTCTCTATAAGAAAAACCCGATTCTTTGTGGGGTCAAAGCAATACATTCTAAGTTTTTTTCGTGTCTCTAGATCATTCTAATTTCTTGACCTTATGCTTGAATTAGCTTTGTAATCATCGTCTATAATATGTTTTTGATTTTGCATGCAGGCAGAACAGAAGGCAATATATCAATTGAATCGAAATGAAAATAAGCATTTAACATGGAACCAGACAAGAAATATGCCCTTTACTTACAAGGTATTTAACTAAAACACGTTTCAATTCAAGTCGGTTAAGTTTAGTCCATATTACAGATAATGCCAAAATTTTGTTACAAAATCACATTAATCATTTATAAGTAGTATCAATTCACGTTCAATATTGACGGTGAACCTCATGTCTAACTTGCTAACATCATCCACACGTCACGTTTTGAAACTCGTGGAAGTAACTTGGGATCGGTTCCATGCTGCATTTTTATTCAGGTGATTTTGGAGAGTTTGAGAATGGCAAGCATTATATCATTTACATTTCGAGAGGCAGTCATAGATGTGGAATATAAAGGTAGCATTTCTCTTAAGGGAAATGTTCGTAACTCTTTCCGCTACTTATACAATTTTTTTGACAGCTTCTATAATAGATGTTTTGAAGTAACATGCACCCTAGTCCTTAATTTGAGCTTCATAACTTCAAATCAAAAGTTGAATGCATGTAACCTCAGCGTTTGTCAAATTTTCTATTAAGAGCTTGTTTGGGAGGGATTTTAAGAATTGATTTTTTGACCGTTAGGAGAAAAGGGAGGTCCATCCGTGAAAGAAGAAGTCAAATATGACGACTGAAATAGTGAAATAACAGTCAAAAAATCAATTTTTTGGTTGAAAAAATCGCCCCCAAACAGGCCTAAAACATTTATGTACAAAAATATTATTGCATTGGTAATCAATGTTTTGGGGCACTGAAAAGTTGGTACAATTTGGTGGCAGGGTACCTAATTCCAAAGGGATGGAAGGTCATGCCTTTATTCAGGAATATTCATCACAATCCAGATTTCTTTGTTGATCCTCAAAAGTTTGATCCTTTTAGATTTGAGGTACAAGTTAATATTTTTCGGTTGACTTTGAATTGCATATTTAGTTCGGATTTGGTAGGAATTAAAAATTAAAATTTCATATTTAGTCCCTATTTAGATTTTAATAAATTCTAACAAAGTTGATAAAATCTGTAATTGAAAAGTTGTGAAGCTCATAAAATATGATTAAAAATAATTATTGACTTTGATTTGAAATTTTTGTATGATTAAAATCTACACCAATAGTAGTTAAATAGTGCATTCTTTATTGTTATCGTGGGACGTTCTAAAGCACAAGGAGATTTGACTCATTGATTGAGTCATGGGTCATAAGAAAGACAAATTAACAAATATTAGTACATGCTTTATGTTGTAGGATGTGGTGAAACCCAATACATTTATGCCATTTGGCAGTGGAGTACATGCCTGCCCTGGTAACGAACTTGCTAAGCTAGAGATGCTCATTATGATCCACTATCTAGTCTCTCAGTGCAGGTACTTTTTGAAACTAAAACAAGTATATTTAAAGAGTTTTTCTATTTATACACCAAGGTGATCCCGGTTTACACACCTGACACCCTGGTGTACAAGTAGACAAATCCATTTTTAAAAGCATATTGGTAAGTAGAATTAAATCAGACAAATTCTTTACATGTATCTTGTTCCAAGTATGTTCAGTTCAACCCCCAAACGTATCATATATGTTTTGTACACAATATAATTCAAGATTTTTTACAATACAATACAAAATGTTTTTTTTTCCTGATATTAATATTGTCTTGTACTGTACAGTCTGTTTTACCATTTACGAGTCGACATTGGTGAGTGGTATGTGATGTTTGGTTTTATTTGATGATTGTGTTTGCAGGTATGAGGTGGTGGGATCCCAAAGTGGGATTGAATATGGCCCATTCCCCATCCCATCGCATGGACTACCAGCCAGATTCTGGAAACAAGAATCATACAATTAAGTAGGCCATACCAAGTCATATTCCTTAACGAAATTTCACTTTTCCTCTTTGCTTTCAATCTAATTTGCCCCTTCAAACTAATATGGGGTTGGCCCTCTTTTCCTCAAAAGCAATTATTGAATTAATCAAGGAAGAATTGTATTCATATTTCTTATCAGTTACAGCTTGTAAAATGTGTGCTACTTTCTTTGAAGAATTGGAATTGAAGTATTAATGCTACAAAAAAATGATAAAATTTGATTTAGTTGAATTTTCTCTCATGCTTTGTTGATTTATTTTCTCGGCAATGTCGTGGAAATCAAATTTCATTTTTCTAGAGGAAATTTGCTTGAAAGGGACCATGCGTAGGGAGGAAACCGGAAATGGTTTTATTTTTATCTTCAATATTCAAATATCTTTGCTCTTATGTGTTAGTTTACCATGTCCATATATGATTTGAACGAAAATCAAATTTTAAATAGATTTTGATAAAAGTTGATAAAATATGTGATCGAAAAATTGTAAATTGTATGAATGTGTAATTAAAATTAATTGCTGATTTAACTTAAATTTTAATCGAGATTTCTTGCTGAAATAAATGAGGCTATATTTGTTTTGCAGCATGTAGTTGTTTACTTATTGAAATGATGTTTAGAAACAACTTCTACTATTTTTCTTTCATAAACTAGTTTAGTAAAGCTCGATCATTAGGTCGAACTTATCAAATTCAGTCCTTGTTTGAGCTCATTTTTTCAATCAAAATACATTCTTCAGGAGTGATTTGATCCAATTTCAACTGCACATTTTTTAGTAAAATAATATTATACATAAATTCAAATCATTTACTTATTTTTTTTATCACTCATTTTTCCATCATGAAATTATTACAAAATACATTTTTTGGAAAAAAATAAATAAAAAAAATACGGAACTCAAACAAGCATTCAATATGTTTTTGTCATGAAAGTACTAAAGAATAGTGTTTTTTAAACTAGTCTCCGATTTTCCCTACATGGGAGGAGTCAAGTTTGAACACTTAAGTTTGTGAGAATCAAACTATTACACAACTTGTATTTCTATTTTTTCCCGCAATCTTGTTACAGTGATAGGCTCAAATGACACATTTTAAAAAAGGGCGAGATCTTTTGTCAACACATGATTAGATGGTATAAAAAATAAAAAAAAAACACAATACCCAATTAGTTGTTGCACAGATGGCAAACGAGACGGATTCAGCGCGCGACGCAACTTTTTGCCCCCTTTAATTTTTTTTATTTTTTATTTTTTACATTTTCAAAGTTTCGAATTATGTTATTATTAGAGAATAAAATACAAATTCAAAATAGACTTTTAACAGGTGAATTATTTAGAAATAAAATTATTTTTAATCTTTTTTTTCTCCTTCACGATGCGGGGCAAGGATGCCGCGCCCCGCCCCCATCCCGCTAACCTGTTCGGGGCAAATTTTTTTCCCATCACTAAGTTGTTGCCACCCCACCCTGTCACCCAATTTTCTTTCAATCACCTTAGCCAAGCACATTATTTCTTTCCCATTGATCGGGATTTGAAAGTAGATTCAAAAGTAGTTAATTATTTAAAAAATTGCCCATATGCGAACTTTTTCTCCTCCCATATTGACATAGCGTTAAACAAGAAATTCAAAAGAAAACCTTCATAACATGAATTTTGAAATCTACCAAATTATGAAAAATTAACATCATGGATTTTACTGATTGAAATATGATTAAAAAAAAAGAGTGAATTAGACAAACTAAGTCCCTGTTTGAGCCCAAATTCTTCAAAAATTCATTTTTTCAAATTTCATTTTCAATCACACATTCTCTCATAAAATAATTATACGAGTATTTCAAAAAAATTTACTTATTTTTTAACCACACATTCTCCAAAAAATCATCATTCTATAATACATTTTAACCAAAATTGGGATCAAAAAGGGGCTAAAATTGAAAAGAACTCAAAATAAACTAAATGAAAAAAATAGAATTAAAATTTTAAAAACAATTTTCGAATTCTAAACGAACTTGAATGGTCAAAATCCATCGTATATCCTAGCAAAATAATGAGTTCTACTTGTCTCTTCATTCTCTTTTCGAAATAGTATTATGAATACAAATTGAAGTTCAAATATTGTCTCTGCACTATTATTTTTTTCCCATGTCGATTCAATTCTTCATCACCCCATTCAATAGTATGTTTTATATCACATATCTAACCCCCTACATGTACAGAAAAATCATTTATAGAAGCTGTACAGAATACACACATGCAATAGTGAGTGGGTTATTTTTTGCAATATTTTAATTCACATAGGGTCCATCCCCATGTGAATGTTTGTGAGGTTTCTGTACATTATTTTTCTGTACGACGGGATTTTTCCATCACATATTGTGGTTGGGTGATGTGAAATGTGATGTTGGGTGATATTTGTTGATGCCACGCGTTAAAATGTTCCAAAAGTTCTAGTTGTGATGAGAGGCTACGTTAGAACCAGGTAGCAAGTGTGTGATTGGTCAAGTGAAAGGTTGGTGTTGGGTGCGTATGGTCCCTGAGCACACTCTAAAAGCATACCATTACTTTCTTGACTATAGTTGAGGCCAATGCTCAAATGTGGCTAATCGGATATTTTGCCCCCATTTAGCCCCCATTTTCAAATTAAAATAGGTGGGATAATATTTTTGTTAAATGAATAGTTGAAAAAGAAAGAAAAATTTTCGATATACGTGTAATATTATTTTATGAAAGATTGTATGTTTAAAAATGTGAGAGAAAAATGAAATTTAATTTAATAGAGACAAAACGAGAGCTTTGCAACACTCCCGCTAGTCCAATTCTTTTATAAATTTGATGGGGGCAGTAATGGATTTAGTTTAGTTTTTATTTAGTCTATATTTGACAATCATTTATTTATTTATTTATTTATTTACATATTTTCAAACATATGTTCACAGAAATAAAATATTCTATATGTAAATTCAAAACACTTCCTTACTTTTTAACCATACATTTACTTAAAAATCACAATTCAAAACTATTTTTTCCTCAAATAATGATTGTCAAGCATGGGCTTAATTTATTATAATTTTTAAATTTGATTAGAATTAGGTTTTATTTCTTTTGTTTCTTTTTCAAACTAGGTTTGCTTGAATTTTATATAAAGAGTGTATATTCATTTTAATACACTATTTTAATATGAAATAAATTGACATTTTTCTCTCTAAATTCTCTTTATTCTATCTATTTTTCTCTCTTTCTTCCCCTTCCTTTTCTGAATCTTATTGTTCGTTTCGTTGCATCCTACGACAATTTGATATGAAAGGTTAGTCATAATGCTTTGACCAAATTAGTGTTCGTGTGCATTACGAAAATTTTCAGCAACCATGATCCATCGCATGAACAGCCATTGTAGGGACGAAATCAGGGGAATAAATAAATTTTACTAGGTCGATACACATAAAAAAAAAAGAAAAAGAAAAAGGGCAGTCAAATGCACGGTATATTTTTTAGGAGTTGTTGTTAGTTTAATAATAATAATAATAATAATAATAATAATAGATACCTTTTTTTTTTTGGTGCGGCCCAACTTCAAGAAGCCCATCTTTGGAGTTGCTACATTCTAAGCCGACCCACATTCAGTAATAACCCTATATATATGGGAAAAAATCATAACTTAGTAATTTAGTTTACATCAAATCATAAGTCAGGTGTATAGTTTGAAAATGCAAAACTCAAATATGAGATAATTAATTAAAAATATTTATTAATTAAATATAATAATGTCACAATTATACAATTAATAGTCACAGAAATATAATTATAGATCACAACTTATTTATTAGTCACATATTATCAAATTAATTGGTTACGAATTATGTCGAGATTGCAAATCAAAAAATTTATAGGTCATAATTTATTTTATTAGTCACAATCAAAAAAATTATATGTTACAGTCAGTGTTTAAAAAGGTGTAACGCGTAGCGATGCGTGTAGGCCAAGCTATGGGCTATGCAAGCTTAAGCGAGATTTAGGCGTAAAAATGCGTTTTTTATTTTAATATTATTTTAATTTTTAATAAATCAAAAACTATTTAATAATTAAAAACAATACTCACTAAACATTTAAAACAGATTTATAGGAATGTTATACATTTTTTCAAAGTTTTCAACAAAAAGATAAATTTCAAACTTAAATACAAAATAGTAAACAAATAGTATAGGAACTTAAATCTTATCTAACTTTTTATCGGACTACAATTCAATATCATCTTCTTCATCTAATTCGTCATTCGTATCTTCCGATACAAGTGGTTATCTTAAATTAGGGCGAAATGAAGAAATTAGACATTGATAATTTTTTAACAACACAAAATTTAAAAATAAAAAAGAACAATAATGCACGTCAATGTGAGCATAATTGCGCCTAGGTGTGCCTTAGCGGTCAACGATTGTCGTTGACAATCAAATAAGATGTCAAGCCACTTGACTTGGTGTTTTGACCAAGCATCAAGCTTAGGCGGAGCCTAGGCACCACTAAAACACTGGTTATAGTTAATCTATCGATCACATATTTTCAAATTTGTTGGTCACAGATGATTTTTTTAGTCACACATTATCGAATTTTAAGGTCATAGTTTAATAGTTAGTTACAAAGAACCAAGTATTTAATCACATACACCAAACACCCAACCCTGATCCACTGCCCATACTTGGTCACAAACACTACCCACCCCACCACAACACCAACACAACCACCGCCACTGCCATTACAGCCACTTGTGACCACTCTCATCCCGCCAGCACCACAACACCACCGTTATCAGCTCTCCACAAACAACCACCTCCAACACTAATAGAAAGACGCCACCGCTGCTGCCACCACCATCACCACTACCAACACCATCACACCAACACCACAACCACCTCACAGCTTGTACCACCACCACCACACGGCCACCACAATCAACTGCACACAATCAATAAAACTCACCCCAAATTTTCAGCAGCAATTTGTGACCACAATTCCACATATTGGGACTATTAAAGCTCAACAAAAACACACATTTACATAAACCAACCACTACACCACAATCACCATCCCCACCTCCACAGTCAAACCACCACCAACACCACAAAAATCACCACTCAAATCTTCACTACAACATTCAAATTGTCGTGTGAAACTGAGAGTCGAAGGCACAAGGCGATCTTCGTAAACTGGATGACAAATGGTCAGTTCTTGTCATGCTATGCGAAC